TTTTTTTTCTCTCTCTACCCTATAAATAGAACCAAAGGAGTAGTTTTATTATAACTGCAGGTATAGAAGTAGCTAATAATATGCAATCCCTCTTGAAAATATATTAGTTGAAATATTAATTTCTTGACTAAAATATAAGGCATTGATAATTAATTCACAATTCTTAAAAAATGTTAGTTAAAATCTTAATTTTTTTAAAAATGTACATCTTTTCAATTTACTCTCATTAATATCTTATATAAGTACTTTGATAATAGTAATCAAAATTTTAGCACATCGTTTTTTCAAAAGAATAATGAATGAAGTGGGGGTATAGTTAAAAAAATTATAAAAGTTATTAAATGTCCTATATTTTGGATCAAGCAAAACTTCTAGAAGATGTCCTATTTGTGGTCCGGAGGGAGTACATCTTACCAAATTTTAAAATTTTAAAATTTTTTAAAATGTTTATTTAATTTTCCCTTGAACTTTTTCTAACATAATTGTATGAAATACAATGAGAACCCTAATTTATATTGTGCGAAAAATTAGAGAATCTAACACTTATTATACTCTTTAGACTGCACAATGATGCCAAAGAATGATGCATATAACGATCTCATGTTCTTATTAATTAACAATAAACGTTGTCATTTTTTATAAAAATATTAATTGGATTTTTTTATAGTTGTACTCTCTCTATTCTTATTATAGGATAACATTTTGAAGGGCACAGTATTCCTATTTATAAGACAATTTACATATATTTTTATGAGAAATTGCTATATATTAAATTTTTTTCCTAAAACGTCCGTAATCAACGAATAAAAACACTTGGCTCACTGTAGAAAAGTTAAGAAAAGAACTAATTAAAAGAAGAAGCAGGAAAAAAGAAAATATTTTCAAGCATAAATTAGTTAAAACTATTTTTTAATGGGTAAATTAAATACTTCCTCCATTCAAAAATGTAAAACATTTTTAACTGAATCTCATATTTTAAAAAGTAGTTACCTACTTTTCAATTAACCCAATTTTTTCATATTTATTCCTATTAAACACCTTACAATAAATATAAAGTCATTATCAATAGGAGCACTTTTAAAAAAAAGACAATAATTACACCTCGAAAAACTAAAAATATCTTACATTTTTTAATATAAAACTCCTTAAAAAATGTCTTATATTTTTTAATAGAGAAAGTGACTTTTTCTTTTAAAAAAGAAAGCGAGAGTATCAAATAAGACGAGAAGCTTGTACCAAAAAATTCCTTCCATAAGTTAAATTGATTCAATGATTTGTCTGATACTTCTCCAATTTCAACACCTGCCTCTCTTATTTTTTAAATATTAAAATTTTGTAATATGAAGTCATGGTTTTATTTTTAAACTCCCCTCTGGGGCACTGTTTAAGTTTGAATTCAACTGCATTGTTCCCACCAGCTTTTGCACAATTTAGTATAAGACAACCTAGATTTTGATTACCATCATCTAAGTGAAATTTTGTCATGAAGTTTATTGCAAAATAAATTATAACCTAAATTTTGACTATCAGGTAAATGAAATGTTGACATAAAGTTTATTACAAAATAAGTCAATTGTTCAAAGTTATAAGGCGGGCTGGATAATGTCAATTCCAAACACTTGTGAGAAACAAAAATAAATATTCCACTGTTTAAGATTTTTTTAATAAAAATATTACGTTTTTAAAAGTCACTTTTATGAAACTTTACAATATTTGTTTAATTTTTTAAAAAAATAATCATAATCTGAAAAAAGTACATTTATGATTATTTTGATATCAAAGACTATTTTAAATAAATTTTAAAAATAATCTAATACAGTGTATGATGGGTAAATGCCATGAAGATGTGAAAAAAAATTCATAAAATTTGAAAATAAATAAAAAAATCATTTTTTATACATAACATTATAAAAAAATCATAAAATCTGAAAAATAAATAAAGAATAATAACTTTATTTTATAATTGTAACAAAACACAAAAATAATTTCTATTTTTCATCATGCCTTTACATAAGAAAATCATTTTTCATAAAATAAATAAATTATTTAAAAATTAATTATTTTTTATTTAGAAGTAAACAAACAGGGCCTAAATCAATTGTCATATAATTACTCCGTCCATTGCAAAATAACGATCACTTCAGATTATTTTATTTTTAAATATTGGTATCTATAGAATTTATAAGAAATATTAATTATTTTCTTGTTTTTATCTTTTATTAATATTTTTATTTACTCTAATAGTGTATTTATGACAGGGAAAGATTTAGATACTTAGCCTTATACTCTCCAAACCAGGGTACCTTCTAGAAGAACTTTTGGTGTTTAACATAAGATAATTGTTGTGATGCTTATTATGTTTTTTAATATTTTTTTATTTAAATTTATTAACTATGAGAGAAATAAAATATATATTTAAATTTTTTTCATTTAAATAAGGGAAAAATAAGAAGTATAATATATTTTTGAACAAAATTAATGACACAATAACTTATCCTTGATTTTAGTGAAGTAGTTAGAAGTTATTTATAATAAAGATCGGAAGAGTATATTTGATATAATATGCTTGCATTGATTTAATTGAAAACAAGCATCTTAAATATATGAGGCTAAGTATATAATCAAGCTATCTATTTAAGATAATATTTATGTCAAGATCAAGCATATGGAGTTCACTTTCTTTACTTTTGTCTATTTTCTCCCTTTTTTATTTTAATTTTCTCCCTAAATTCTAAAGAAAACTTTATAATCAAGAACTCTGCAAAAGTTATACTATTTTGTTGGTATTTTAAATTCACAGACTCTTTCATGAGATAATTAACGATGGTTACAGAAGACCTTTTTTTATTATTATTGGGAAAAGTTAAATTGTTGGGGTTTGATAGGGAGATCCTAGATAGAGCTTAGCTTTCAGCAAGATTGGACGTTTTCTTGGGTTGAAAGTTTTCCTCAGCGCCTGTCCCAGTGGTAGAAATCTTTAGATTTTAAGTGTTTTCATAATTTCTATTGTATTAACTTAAATAACTGTCCGTTGTTTAACTTCTTAGCTTTATTTGTAGTTGATCGTTTAATTTAAAAAGAAAGAAAGAAAAGAAAAGTATATAAATGAGCAACACCACTTCTTGATCATAATAAGTAGGCTTAATTAAGGTGCTAATTCAATTCTGAACTTTCTTTTAGGTGCCCTGAAATTAATGATTGTGTAATATTGCCCTTCATGTATCAAAAAAACAGAGCAATATTGCCCATTCTTTAAAATATATGTTAATTTCATAGTTTGTTAACCCAAAAATTATTAAAAAATCCTAATAAAAAAAAATTAGCACCAATTAAGTCCCTTAAATTTCAAATAATTTTTAATAGAGTAATTTTATTTCTTACTCATATTTTTATAAAAAAAATATTATTTTGGTGTTTTAATTATACTAATCTTTACATTTAATTAGTACATGGACAGTGATCTGATAACCTCTCTAGTGTCGGCTGAGCCTCTTCTTTATCACCCATGAAAAAGGATCAGGTATTTATTATTGTATAAGTCAAGACACGCGGGTAAAAGTTAAAAGATTTAGTTAAATTGAAAACTGTAAACGGATCCATGAGTATGAAAATGAGCTATTTTTAGTTAAAATAGTTTGACTTTACACCCAATAATCACGTTCTGACTATATTCGAAAGAGACAAAAGGATAGAGTGGCTAGGGAGGAAATGAGAACAAAGTTTTTCTGCTTCTGTTTGTTTGGTTAAACAACACACGAGTGTTTAGGTGAGATAAGGTGATTCGCAATCTGGAATATACTAGACCTTTCGAATTCAAAAATATATAATTTTAAAAAATATCATCAAATTTTGGAGTGTTACGATTTTAAATAAATAGAATAGAATAGTCCTCCATTGCACAGGTTATTCAAATCCTAATTAATACTGCCAATCTACTCCTACTAAAATATAAATTCTATGGCAAGCCAAATTATAAGTCTTGTCTCATTATATGTACTCTATTGCTTTACGAGTTACATGGTTTGACTCTTTATGCTTAATTATTTGAGCGATTTAACTTCCAGTTATTTGAAGTTAAATTTTAATTATAATAAAATTCATTTTATGGTTAGACCATTTTGTATCTTTTTACATTTTTCATAATGCATCTTGTTTTGAAAAGATAGTATAACTTACAAAAAATTTTATATTAATATATAGATATATAGACAGATGATCATGATGCCAAATGTAATTGTGATTATTAATTGAAATCTCTTAGGGGAAATATCATCCAGTTAATTCTCTAAAATTCAAGTTAATAATAATTAGGGATAAAAAATTTGCTAAAAGATAAGCTGCATGTAAATATGGTAATATCAGTTGTAAATCACCAGGAGCACTAACATAGGAGACTTAATTAAATATCTGATTTAAAAAAATATTCTCATATTTATAATTTTTCTTTCAACAATTTTTTAAACCTAATTGTCATTAAATACATTGATATTATGAAACGTACCTAAGTGTCATTTCCCATTAGCTTAACCTGAGAGCTAGAGAGACAAATAAAACGCGCTAATGTTGTTAGAGGATATTATAAACTGTAAATTTTAAAAGAGAAAAAATGTAAAGTAACTTTATGGCATACTCCCTCTATTCCAATAAGTATTTATTATAATTTTTTTAAATTATCCCTTAAAAAATTATAATTTCATCCACAAAAAATAATTAATGTGGTCTTATTTTAATTAAATATAAAAATATTTAGTTTATATTTTTTATTTCTAGATGTAATTATTATAATTAATTAATTTTTTAAATCGTACAATATAGTTATTTTCGGAGGGAGTAATAATGTAAGTTGGAGAAAGGTCGAAAGGCACCGCTAAGGGTTGTGGCCACGCTGTATTGTTTCTCGAAATGTCATTTTCTTCTCTTAAAAACACTACATCCTCTCTCCTCCCCCCCCCCCCCCCCTCCCTCTCCTTCCCCCTGTAGGCCCTGAATGCTATGTAGATCTTTCTATCAACTCTCTCCCCTTCTTCCTCTTCTTCCTCTCACTCCAATTAACCAACATCTCCATTTTCTAGATAGAGAAACTAAAACATGAATGCTCTCTTCTTCCTTCGTACTGCTCCATAATCTTAACCATCAATCTCTCATCACCACGGCTCAAATCGTACAATTCATCTCTGCTGTATATTGGGGTATAAATTAAACGCACCACTTATCATTCTCTTCTTACATTATATTTCTCAACTTAATTTCCTGTTAGTTTTTCATTGTTTTATATGGCAATTTAGCAGGAAGCTCCATCGTCATCGTCTTCTTCTTCTTCTTCAATCATCCACCGGCCAGGCCACCATGAGTCACGCTCACAGCCATAGCCAGGACGACGCGGCCACCACGGCTGCGACCACCACTGCAAAGCTCGACGACGGCCACGAGCTCGACATGGTCATGCCGGGGTTTCGATTTCATCCCACAGAAGAAGAACTCGTGGAATTCTACCTTCGCCGTAAGGTTGAGGGAAAGCGTTTCAATGTCGAGCTCATTACTTTCCTTGATCTCTATCGCTATGACCCCTGGGAGCTTCCTGGTATGCCTAGTTACACACACACACACACACACACACACACACACACACGACACTTATTTTATTATTATAATAATATTCCCTTCTCTTCAAGGAATGTTTTCAGCAATTGCTTTTTTAGCCTAAGAACATCGAACTCCTCTCCATCACATTCTCATAGCAACATAGATGCACACGTGCTGTTTAGTTCTTCTTCTTCTTCTTCCTTTGAGCTTCGCAATTGAGCAAGAAAGATTAGTTCTGAATATGTTCTATTGGGTTTGAGTTTGATGGTGTGTATGCGTGAACAGCCATGGCGGCGATTGGGGAGAAGGAATGGTATTTCTATGTGCCGAGAGATCGAAAGTATCGAAACGGCGATCGGCCGAACCGTGTAACGACGTCGGGATACTGGAAAGCCACCGGAGCTGATAGAATGATCAGAACTGAGAACTTCCGGTCGATTGGGCTCAAGAAAACCCTAGTTTTCTACTCCGGCAAAGCTCCCAAAGGTATCAGAACCAGTTGGATCATGAACGAGTATCGCTTGCCTCATCACGACACTGAACGATACCAGAAGGTACTGTTCATAATTCATATCTCAATTAACTAATTAATTAATACGGCTCTGTTTCATAGCAACTAAATAATTAACAAGAAGAATGTTTCGAGAGAGACAAGTTACTGTAACCCTAGTTTTGGTACACAATTTTTGTTTTAGCCTGAGAGAAATTGTTGGAGGATACAAAGCTGTGGCATAATTAATGTGTGTGTGGGATCGATGGGATGGGATATTGAAGGAATTAAAATTTAAAACTGGCCACCGTTCGAGCATTTACTTTTTTCGTGGACAACAATAATTAAAATGTTATCGTATTCTTCTGTTGCAGAAATCCCTCACTATATGCATGAAAGCTTTAAATTCGGCTGTGTGATCAATCAAATACTTACTATATTTTCTCATGACCAAACACAGTTGCATTATATTATAAATAACTTCGATTTTTGTATCATACGAAGAACGAAGAACTGCTTCATCAAATTACTGCTTCGATCTGTGCGTGTGATATGTTGTTCGACAATAATACAAGGTTTGAATTGTTATTGTTAATGTCCATTTTTCACTTTTGTTTAGGCTGAGATATCACTGTGTCGTGTGTACAAGAGACCAGGAGTAGAAGACCACCCTTCACTTCCTCGTTGTCTGCCAACGAGGCCATCTTCATCCTCGAGAGCTTCTTCGCACTCATCAGACAAGAGCATCAGCAAGCACAGCAGCGAAACGTTTCATCATCATCATCAACAGAGCAACAACATAGAATTCGTGGGACCAAGTACGATGATGAGTAACTATAATCATCATCGAACGGAGGATCAGTTGGAAAAACCTCTGCAGACGATGATAATAATAATAATCAAGGGGTCTCTATAGCTCTTGGGCTTTCCAAACAAAGCAACCCTGCTGCTACATTCCCTAATTCATCAACTTCAACAATGGCCCCTCCATTTCCATTAATTGAGGACGAAGACTTACTCATGCTCACCAATATGCAGCCATTGATAATGAAGCAAGCTCAAGCTTCTTCCTCCTTCTTCCTCGCACCTGGTCATCTTAACAATTCTTCCCCGGCTTCTTCGTCAAACGTAGCGGAGGATCTCAATAGGCTGTTGAGTTATAATCAGCTGCAACAATACTTCAACAGCAACACTACTCCAAGCCACCAACAACAACAGTTCTCTAATTTGCTGTTGCAACCTCAACCAACGGCTCTGATGATCAGTCCGCCGTCGGCTCTACCGACTTCGTTTCCGTTAACGATCACACCACCGGCGACAACCACCACCACCGCCATGACCTTCTCTGATAATAAACTGTGGGAGTGGAATCTCATACCTGATCAGCACAGTAATAACAGAGAGTACAGCAACATGTCCTTCAAGTAATTATATTCTCACTTTATTATTCTCTCTGCATTTGTGATATTATAATAATGATGATAGCCCCTCTGTGAACTGCACATACATTATTTATGTGTTTGGAGATTAGAGGCACTACTTGATCATCTATATATGTCTTAAATAATTTCAACTGTTAACATTATTTGTAGCACAAATATTTATATTAGGGTTTTAATTATTAGGTGTTTATTTTTTAATTAACAATTGGTGTATATGCATGACATGTTAATTGTCTTAATTATCAATGAATAGAACTGAATTAGAATTAAATATATTTAGATGGCATGTGCTTGAAGTGCATATATTTGCCCAATTTTATACTACAGTTTTTCTCTTTGTGAAATTAGATTCAAAGTAGACTTTTCTTTTTAGTGATTTAAAATACTATATCCAACTTGCATATGATTCATTTGGCAATAGGTTCGATTAATTCAAACATAAATAATCACAAAAACGCTAAAAACAATACATAATTCCATTGCTAATTGGCCAAAATAATAATGTATTTTATTGTTAACAGGCTCATTTTATATATATATATATATATATATATTCTTCAAAGCTTAGATGCTGAGGGGGTTAAATAATAAACTTCAAAACTGGGACACAGACTAACCAATTATTTGATTCAAAACCCTTGAGGAAATAAGCAGTAATTAAATATAATTAATTTAATGGAGAGCGGTATAGTAGTCTAATTAATTATATTTGATCCCTTGCTTGAAGTTTTTCAAACAAAATGTGGCCTATATTCTCCGTATAACAGAAGATTCCAACTTCATTGATTTCAACTAATTTAGTTATAATAATAATAATAACAGAAAATATATAGAGATGTGATCAAACTTAGGATTCTAGCTAGATCATCATCTAGGCGCCGTTAACTTTTGAACTAAAGCGGCACCTAATTAAGAACTATGCACATGCAAAGCAGAGAAAAATCTCATGTTCTATACTTTCTAGAGTTCTAGAGATTAATTAAAGAGGATGGACCCATATATATAATATTTATACACACATCCAGAAAACTGAATTATGGTAAATTGAATTTGATTCTTTGGTTGGTGAAGGATCAGATTTACCAAACCCTCCTGAAGCGAAATAGTTAAGTTTGTGTCTATATATTTACATGTCAAGGTGTTTTATTAGATTGCAATTAATTAAAGCTAATTGGTCAAGATGAGATGAGAAATAGTCAACTTTAGAGGATCAGATTCCAGCTATATATACATAGTCAAACCCACAAAAGCTGATGAGTCATTTCCAATCTCTCTTGAAATTAACAACAATTTGTTATGACATGTAGCAGTTTATATATAGTGATGAATCAGTAAGATTTTAATTATGTGGTATGAATGATATATATACATATGGATGTAAAACACTGCGTTGTAAAAAAATATATTTTAAAATCTTTATAAAAAATAAAGAAAACATGAGACTGGGGGGAGAGGCTTACTAATATGAAAAATAATTTTTTAAAATGTTAAAAATTACTGTACAGAAGAGAAAGGTAAAAGATAAAATCTAAGTTAATGTAATTATATACAGATTAAAAGAAGTTGACAAATATTACTACTACTTTTCCTATTTCCTACACCGCCCCCGATTACCCTTTACCCCTTCATCGTCTCAACCTTTGTCTTTACGATTGCTCTTGGACGATGCGACTGGGAAAATTAATTATACCACTTTAAATAATTGGAATAAGTATAAATTTTAATGAATAAATTGAGGTTAAAACGACATAAAACGTTAATAACTAACGGTCGACAAGAAGCCAAAACATATGTATTCCTAAAGTTAAAGTAGTTTGTTGTCGTGTCAAATGAAGAATTTCAAAAGCAAGTCATTTTATATAGCTCAAATTATTATGAAAAGAATTTGTATATATGCATAAACTAAACGTTACATTTTTAATTATATTTTGAGTTTTTATTAAGTTATAAATTAATATCTTAAATTAACATGAATCAATTAAATGCTTCTTTCTTTCTTTCTTGAATTCTTCTACTTGAAATAAAATTGTTAAGATGTCCAAGTTTTGGTGAAATTGAGTTGAAGTGAAAAGTCTCACATTAAGTAAAGTTAAACTTAATAAATTTGAATCTTGAATTTTGAATATATATATATATATATATATGGCATCTTTCTTCTGCTTATCTCCCATTTGTTTTCTCCCAATTACATTATTATAGGCAACCTTGAAAGCTTAAGCTGGTGTTGCCCGCATGAAAATAAACAAAGGTCCCTCCGCTCCCAAATTTAGGGTTTAGAATCATGAATTACCCATAGAATTTCTCAAACTTGTTCGGTGCATAAAATTAAAAAATATAAAAGTATAATGAATTAAAATTTTACTGATGATGAAAATTATTATGAGAGAATTTCAATCAAAGACTATAGATGGGACTTAATCATCAGTGGGTCCCAAAAAAATATGTAACTTTAGTTTAGTCCAAAAGGATTGAAATGAAAATAATTTCAATAACAAAGAAATCAAAGTATCCTTCACTTTTATATAAAAATATTAGTTGTTAATTTTCTAACTTTACTTTTTAATTTACCAATATGAGTTGTAAATTATATTTATTTGTCAAATAAGTAATAATATCAGTTGTTAAATTGCTAATTTTATATGTTAATTTACTAATATCAGTTTTGACTTACAATACCTATCAATAATTTAAAACTAATGTTAGTAAATTAACAAATAAAGTTAATAATTTAACAATTGATATTGCTATTTGTGATTAAACAACTGATGTCAATTATTATATAATTATTACTATATCAATTTATATAATTTATAACTCATATTAGTAAATTAACAAGTGAAATAAAAAAATTAATAACTAATGATTCTACATAACAAGTGATGAGTACTTTGATCTTTTTATCATTAAAATTATTTCTATTTTAATCCCTTGGACTGAACTAAAGTTTCAAATTTTTTGAGACCCACTAGTAATTACATCTCATCCATGATCCTCTCCCAATTATTATTGTATATCCTTACTTTGAAAAATATAATAATAAAAAATACAAATTAATTATAAATTCACCATACAGATTTTATGCAATGGACAATATAGAGAGAAAGAAGGGGAGGGAGAGAGTACAGATTGTTCTTCACTTCACATCCATTTGACAGCAACCGGGGCCTTAGAATTTGATTAATTATTAGGGAGAGCAAAAAGAGATCCTGATGGAAAGCAATTCTCTATATCATACTGTGTATATGTATATGTACAATTATGGTGATTAATCCAAGTTTATTGTTGGGTTTGATATGTGTGTGATGAAATAAATACAAATTTCTTCATCACAGATATTCTATACATGTGTGTGTAGACCTAGTAGAAGAGAAGGATCTAAATATATAATAGAGGTATAGAGGAAGATATATATTAATTATAATAACTCCATTATGATATATATGCAACACTCAAGTCATCAAATTCAATAGAAACTATGAAGGTAAATCAAGAGTGATATATAGCAAAAAGGATATTTACATGCATAAAAGCTACTAATTAGATATAACTGATACTAAAAATAAAGATGAAAAGCAAGGAATAATTAAGGGAATTCAGTATAAATATATATATATATATATATATATATTCCCTCTCCTCTGTCTTCAAGTTTATTATTTCTTTTCTTCTTCTTTTATATTACACACACACACACACACACACACACATATATTCTTTCATTGTTGTATTTATTATTTCTATTATACTGTAGCTATTACGTAAGTGTGATGCATGATCTGATGCTTTTTTCTTCATTTTGTTTGAAACTGTCATGTGTGTGAAATTATCACTAAGAATAGTTTCAATGTTATTATTCGGTTGTTTTCGTTTTATCATATCCAGAGTAAACGTGTGGAGATTATACATATACTATTACACAATCTATGTTTTCACCTAATTAATTATTCGAGCAAATCAAGTATATTGAAAAGGAAATATATTAAACATACTGTAAAACTATAAATGATAGTTAATACTCCACCCATCCCATTTTATAAGAATTTTTAAAAGTAATTTGATTTGATTTCACAAAATCTAAGATGACTTTTTGGCCCGGGGGGGGGGGTTGAAGCTTGGTTAATGATGAGTATTCTAATATTACCTTCCATTGTTGGATTTGGATCACCTCCCATACGGATTTTGCGCAGTGCCTGGGAAGTGCTTTCATAATGACCATCAGATCTATCTGATTGTTGGGAACAACAGGGTGTAGAATTAACTTCCCATCTATCACATGACCCCAAAAAAAAAAAAAACAGAGAAAAATTTAGGAATTTGGAAGGTCTCTCTTCGTTAGATAGCCTTCATGTTCTCCCTCCATTTGGGTGATTTTCATCAGCCTCACAAAAATATATAGCCAACTTGATAGCCTTCAGCGTCGAAATTGAACTCAGAGCTCTTGATTTTCACTTAGCTTGCAGCTGTGAAGAACAGT